AGGCCCGCCACTCACCAGAAAGCCCGAGGTGCTGTCCAGCAGGCAGCGTACACGGCACACGAAACAGCGGGTCAGGAAGGCAGAGAACTCAGTGGGCAAGCCTGCGCCCCCCTGCTGGGCCCTGAGCAGCCTCCCCAGGACGGCGTTCTCTCCTGCCCAGCAGCAGGGCCGAGGGGGAGATGGCCAACGAGATGAAAGCCAGACACAGTCACAGGGCGACAGTCACCCCAGGGCATGCGACCAGCAGCCCAGTGTGTGTACAAGCCCCAATGGTATGGTCACCCCACCCCCCACAACCCCTGTAGATGACCACTCTGGTGAATTTGCCTTCCCTGTCTCTTGTCTTTAAGACATACTTTTTGACCAGGCGCAGTAGCTCAAGCCTGTCATCCCAGCACTTTGCAGGGCCAAGGTGAGTGGATTGCCTGAGCCTGTGGATTCGAGGCCAGCCTGGGCAACATGGTGACACCTCATCTCTACAATAAATCAAAAATGAGCTGGGCGTGGTAGGCATGCTTGTAGTTCTGGCTACTTGGAAGGCTGAGGTGAAAGGCTCGCTGGAGTCCAGCAGGTTGACGCCGGGGTGGCTGTGAGCGTGCCACTGCCCTCCAGCCTGGGCGACGAGTGAGCCTCCAACTCAAAAAAAAGAGACATACTTTTTTAGTACATGTGCATGTATGACTGCCAAATGGTTGCTCAGGTTTGCTCAGCCCCCGTTTTGAGCTTCTAAAGACCTGTTGCATGTAGGCACCTGGAATTTGCTTTCTGCATTCAACTTTATAAGGTAAATCATACTACTGGATGAGGTTTGGTGAGGAACTTTCTTGAATTACTTTTCTTTAATTATTTATTTAGAGACAAGGTCCCCTCTGTCACCCAGGCTAGAGTGCAGTGGCACAATCACAGCTCACTTGAACTTGAATCATCCTTGAACTCCTGGTCTCAAGCAAACCTCTTGCCTCAGTTTCCCGAGTAGCTGGGACTCCAGGCACGAGCCATTCACCTGTTTTGAGGGATTTCTTTTTGTAGAGATGGGGTTTTGCTATGTTTCCCAGGCTGGTCTTGAACTCCTGGCCTCAGGTGATCCTCCCACTTCAAAAGCCTCCCTCCCAAAATGCTGGGATAACAGGTGTGGGCCACTGCACTTGGCCCCTTGAGTAATTCGAGACTCCCGTGGCTATCCTGAGGGTATGTGTGAGGGAACCAAGAAGTGTCCTCTGCAGGGGACCTTGGACAGATGTCATCTTTCCTCAGAGCCTGGATGTGACTTCCCCTGGATTTGTGTCTACTGTTACCCGTCCAGGAATTCCATGCCTGACAGGCTCATCTCAGGGGTCAGGACCACAGGTGTAATGGGGGGTAAGCCGTGTCTGGGAGGTCTTGTTACAAGGGGGAACCCAACTCTGAGTAGCCCCTAAATCTTTCAGGGGTTTTCAGATTAATCTAGGATGAACCAAAAAAGGTTCCTGCAGACACGAGTCCCGAGAAAAGTTGGCAAAAAGAGACAAGTGCCACAGCAAGAATGGAGAGGCCCCAAGACTGACGATGCCTGAAAAGCAGCCAGAGCCAAGAAGTACTCTGGGCTCACCAGGAGGGAGGGTGCAGACACACCCAGAGCAACACAAGGAGGGAGCGTGCAAAGACACTCAGAGCTCCACAAGGAGTTGGGCCAGCCAGAGGACACAGAGATGTGGGGGGAGGGGTGAGGAAATGCGTGCTGCACCACTCGGCTCCATGTGGAGGGCAGTGGCAAAGGAGAAGGCATGTCTGGCAGTCTCTCCAGAGGCCTAGCCTGTCTGCAGGAAGAGCTCCATGTTCCAGGGGGATGCACCTGGACCCGAGAGACCTACCTGTCTCCACGTGTGGAGGCTGCCCGTGCCCCAGTTGGGGAGGGTCCATGGCCCAGTGCAGCTGCCGGCAGAAGTCCTGGCGGTCGTCCACATGGATGTAGTCATAGATGTTCTGGTGCATCACATCTGTCTGAAACATCGCAACAAGGCCGTTTCAGCTATCCCTGCATGGGTGTGCGTGCTCTCTCCCAGTGGCAAACCCCAACAAAGTCCACGGCCTCTGAAGATGCAAGTCACATCCAAAGTCCTCAGGAAAGACCGAACTTGGCCTTGAGGCCATGACGCTCCCTTGAGGTCATGACGCTCCCTCCCTGGAAGGGCACGTTCTCATGGCCTGTGGCAGCCCCGGCTGGCCAGCTGCATGCTGATGGCCTCTCCAGTCCCCCTGCCCACCGCCCCCTGTGCTCATGCGCTGGCCCTGGAGGGCAGAGCGGGAGGCTCAGAGATGGGACACTTTGGGGCCACGGTACTCTCCTAAGTCAACTCCGGCTCTTCGTGACTCAGTTTCCCACCACATCATGTCTTATAACCTCAACTCCCTTCTTCCCGGCACCCAGGTCTCAGCCCTTGCCCAAGTCCATGCTTAACTTGTCAATGTCCACCAAAACGCTGCTCGGCTTCACTGCAATTTCATTAACTCTATAGCTTGATTTCAAGAAAACTAACATCTTCATGATACTGAGCCCCCAGAGTCACGAATATGGTCTATCTCTCAATGTATCTGGGTCGTCTTTAACTTCCTTAAATACCATTTCCTGTTTTCTGCGTGGCAGTGCTGAACAGATTTGTTCCTGGTAACTCGGTGTTGTTAATCTCATTGTAAACAGCACTTTTCCCCTCATGGTTTTGACTGAAGGGAAAGACGGCTAACAAACGCGTGCTGTGGGTCACACACTATTCCTTCACAAGTTTCTGAGGGTGAGCCTGGGGGTGATGACCCCAGGGCCTCCCTGGGCAGCCTAGGTCTCCCAAATGCCTCAAGCCTCATCTCCTGCACCCCAGTCAGCTGGCAGAAGGGAACTGACCCTCAAGGGACCGTCTGCAGCTCAACCGAAGCAGGACACAGAGTAACCCGTGGAGGGCACCACACAGTCGGAAAAGATGTTTCTGGTGGAGACAAACCGAGGACAGGATGAAACACAAATGCTTTTTCGACTGAGGAAATACAGTTCTGTGTTTCGATGGCCAGTGTGGCACATTGATGGTCCTGAGTCTGTCTTAATATTTTAGGGGCTGATTCCTAAAAGGCGACATCAAGAGCAACCATGGGAGAAACGGGAGGAGGAGAGAGAGATGAGAACAAAATGATCCAGGTGGTACAAGAACAGACACTGCCTTTGCCAAGTAAAGATGGCCCTCGCCTTACTTTACACTGTCCCAATTGAGCGCAGGTTAAAACCGTTTCCCATTCTAGCCCACAGCCTCCTCCAGCCCTGGGACTGTTTTGTGCAAAGCACATGGACGTGTGCTTGTGGGTTCTAACTGCCCTGATGGACAAGCCCTCACAGCCGCCCAGGCCACACGGGGCAGTCTCTCTGACCTGGCGATTTCTGAAAGGATGACCAACTTCTCAAATTGACAATGTCCACAGCAACTGAACTACGCATCTAAAACCCATTTACTCATCATAGGTGCACGAGCTCAAAGACGCTGCATCCAGCGCTCAGGCTGTGCTGGGAGATCCATGGCGCCTGGCTCTTCGCACCACATTTGGCACAAGAGCGCCCTCAAGCACAAAGCTGTCTTAATATCTCCACAAGACATTTTGCATACACTAGAGGCCAGGCCTGACTTCAGGGCGTTTGGAAACAATTTCCTCATAAGAAAGGCAAAACTTTTTACGTCTAACGCTTGGAGAAAAAAGCCAAAATCTCTCCCCAAAAGAGACCCAATTAGCAAGTTCAGAGTTGGAGTCAAAGCTGCCCTGCACAACACCTGCCTCTGTCCCCAAAGCCAAGCCCAGGGGAGGCTGGTCATGGCTAAAGGAAGCCACTCGAGTGTGTCTGCAGAACTCACAAGTGGCTCAGGACACAGCTCGGTGCCATAGGGATTCTGAGCATGTGGCAGGCCCAATGCACAACCTTCCCCTAGATTCAGACTCTGCACATACAGCAACCACGACCGAGGTGGAGGCCAAGTTACTTTGAGTACTTTTCCATGTCACCATGCCATATCCTCATGTTCATCCATGTCCCTATACCCATCGACGTCCCCCACCGTGTCTGTCCATGTCCCTGTGTCTGTCCACATCCCCATGTCCATGAACGTCCTTCCTCCTATCAGCCCATGTCCCGTGTTCATCCATGTCCTTCACCAGGTCTGCCCGTGTCCCCATGTCCGTCCATGTCCCCACATCCCCACATCTGCCCACGTCCCCATGACAGCCACGTCCTTCTCCACGTTCAACCACATCCCCACGTCCACCCACATCCTGTGAGCTCTGTCCTGTTCGGGGCACCAGGAACCACAGTGAAGGAGGCACCAAACCCACTGATCTGCTCTTTGCTTGTACAGAGGAAGCGTCCCAAGAGCAGATGGACAGAAACCGAGTCAGTCACTGAGAGGGAGAGAAGGATGTGGGGGCAGCCACCCAGCTGCCTGTACCACCTCAGGAAACGGCCCAGCATCCATTGCGCCAGGCCTCCTTGGGGTAGGGCACACCATGGGGACATGAAAGCTCCCCACCATAGATATGGGGAACACACAGCACAGCCTGCTGTCACACATTGTCAAGAGCCACCAACCAGAGCAAAGCCCAGGCGCCTCTCCCTGAGGCGGGGCTGGGGGACACCTTTCACCAGGTGCCAGTGCTCTTTCCAGGCTCTGCATGGTCAGTGGCCATGAGGTCTAGCGGCAGCCGGGCAGGCAGACACTGCAGTGCCCACTGTGCAGACGAAGGAAAGGAGGCTCGGAGCCATCCCAGGACTGCCAAGTTGGAACAGCTGCCCTACACCCAGGGGCAGCTGCCTGGTAGCCCTTACAGGTCACGCCTGCTGTGCAGCACTGTCCCTGCACGGGGGCTGGCTCAGACCTGGAAACAAGTGGCATCTTCAACCGGACCGGGGGAGAGACCACCCCTGGGGACATGTGCAGCTCACACACGACAGCCACAGCACCGGCCCCTGGATCAGCGGCAGGAAAGGAGCTTGTCAGGATGAGCCTGGTGGTTGCTGGGCCTTTACAGCTCCCAGAGAGAATGACCCTGCTCAGGTGGAGGGAAGTTGGACTTGGAGGTGGACATAAGAGCAGCCGTGTCCCAGGCTCACTGGTAAGGCAATGGCTCTTTCTGCCTTGGGGAAACTATTCAAAACCTGGTTTCATGGGCTAGAAATGACTCAGGGCCTCAGAAAGACTTGAATTCTAACAACGTGTCAGGGACCAGAGTCTAGGCTCCCCTGCCTTTGGCGCCTGGGGCTCCCTTGGTGCCTGAACCACGAGATTCTTTTTTCACTGCTCTGCACATCACCTGTTGGCCCCAAACCCCTGTTCCGGCGCCGGCTGATCCTGACTCCCGGATGTGACCCCTCTGCTGGCGGAGGCGCTGGCCACGGGAGGCGGGCCTTCTCCTCGGGCCATCCTGCCCCTACGGTGCCCAGCTGGTATGCTGTCCAGTGTCACCGCACCAGAGCCCCAGAGAGTGGCTTTCCATCGGCCAATCCTGGCCTGGACACCTCAGGAACTTCCCCACCACCATGGCCTTATGCTGACCAGTGAGAGTCTGCCTCAGTCCCGCTGGGGGTCCCAGACGGCCTCTTCCTGAGCCCTGGGCTCAGGTCCATGGACACCACTGTCCACGTCCTCAGAGTTCCCTCACCCCTTTACTGCTGATTCGATGATACTAGTTGACACCACTTCATACTAAACATATGTTAACTTTTAATATTAAGCTGTTCAAATTTCTGCATGGTTTCTGTCTCCAGAACGAGCCCTGACAAATCTGTACTCTTTATTTTTCAAAGTTCTATTTTGTTCTTTCTCAACCATACCTGTTCTTTTCTCACGGCATGCTGAGCTTTCTTTATACTGATCCTTATTGTTTCAAATATATCCGTGGTGCTCTAGTTTCTTCCCGACTACTTTCTACCTTTGATTCTTCCGGGGACGTGCCCGGTCTATTTGCTGTCTCCGCTCTTTGTCTAAGGTTGACTTGTGTGCTTACAATTTGGTTTGCAAGCTCATCCTCAGAGGGGACGCCGCCTGGGAGAGGCCTGTGGAAGTGCAGATAAAAGGTTCCATTGTGCCTCTTTGTCCTAGTGTGTCATCAGTCCCCAACCTGTTTAATTTCCAGATCTAGGGAGACCTCACTGCAGTAGAGTCTATTTGGATTGTGTAACTCAAACTTCCAATTTCTCATGACAGATTCCTTTTCCTTCCCAGATCAGGCAGAAAAAAGCTCCCATGATCCTCTCGTAGGCCTTGGGCGGAATCTTTTACTGCACCTTTTCCTGGATGAGTCATCCTTCCAGGGTCTGGCATCTGATGAGGGCTCAGCCCCACGATCTACCCTGAGGTCTGGGACCATCCAACGAGGGCTGGCTGGGCCAGGGCTCTGAGGAGTCCCCGCACATCAATAAGGGCACTTCCGGAGACAGCTACGTCTTGTATGCACCAAGCAGCTGAGGGTTAAGACAGTGACCAGGACTTGCCGAGTGGAGTGGTACTAACCAGGAGAGGGTCACACACTGGTGCTGACGCCACCCCTCAGAGCACAGGAGGCCAAGGAGGAAGCAGTGCTCCAGTCGGCACACAGCCCAGTGTTTAGATCTGAAACACCCCTGACACTCTGAGGCCACTCACGGAGAACCTGAACCCAGGCTGGAAGAAATGCCACCATAGACCAAGCTGGGTGTGGAAATCTTCATCCGATAAGAGCTCGGTGATTCAAAAAGTTCCATTTTTAAAAAAATTTTTTTTTTAGTATGAGTCTCACTCTGTCGCCCAGGCTGCAGGGCACGCTCACGGCCACCGCAGCCTCGACCTGCTGGGCTCAGGTGATCCTTCCACCTCAGCTTTCCAGTAGC